AGAGAGATCAAGAGCACAGGGGCCATTTCTGCAAGGGAATCTACCTTTGATCTGGCAAATTCAGCAACTATGTAAGACACTGCCTGATGAGACATTTGCCATGCTAGTGAAATGTTAATGACTTGGCATTTACAGCAAGATTTTTATAAGCCTGTTTAAAAATAAGTGGGGCTTATTTTGTACAGCTGATTGAATGGGTATCAAAATGTTTTATTTGTTAATATTCAGATGGCATGGCAATTTAGAGACATTGATTAGGTATTGTAGATGTTCTTTCGGTCATGTTGTTGAAGGTTAGAGGGTGTATAGCTTAAGTAATAAAATGTGGAAACATGGAATTAACAAGTAATAATATAAGTCTGACTGGACTGGAATGTTGAATAGAACTACAACAGAGGCATTAGAAGAAGTCTGAACATTTATAATAGAGCAGGGCAGAGGTGCATCCTGTTTGCAAAAGTGCAAATTCATGTGGAGAGTCTAAGTTCAATTGTCTGTTTGGTTATTAATATCCATTAATCAGGGCTTCATGCTGACATGCTGAGTCAAAGAAATAAAAAAAAGAATATACTGTATATAACTGCATTATATTACAGCATGGGTTGTATTTGCAGAAAATAAGGTATTTTACGTAAAATATTAACTAAATATTAGATAAAACACCTGTGTAATTCACAGGTGCTCTGTTCGTTCAAAAACAGAAGACGCAAAGTTTGCTATGCAAAATTAAAGATAAAAGGAGCACAGGGGGACCTACATCCAAAAGCTTAATTGTTCATAGCGTTAGCGACTTACACATCTGAAACCATACAACTGAATGATTTCAGCTATCTAAGTTGCTAACTTTTGGTAAATATGCCCTAGTTCAGCAGTAAAATATTAAGATATTTATCAAATTATATGAAAGCAAAGGATATGCAAAGTAGTTGGGAGTGAGTGTTTGTGTTGCTTGGCAACAGTCAACAGCTGGCTGCTGGGAACTATTTTTTTAATAGTTTTTTGCAGTGGCCCAAAAATGTTGAAAATAAACAATCAAGCACAGTATTATAACTATCAGTTATAAATGTTACTCGATTGTTGTACAAAAGCAAAAACATACTCAAAGTTATGTGGTTGTACTGCAATTTACCACACCTGGAATTATCTTCCGCACTCGGCCTCCTGCGGCCTCCTGCCTGTGATCGAATCACAGCCGTGATATATTGGAGTACATCCGCCCTCCTTCTCGTATGTTATTGCTTAAATAATTTTGACCATTATAACATGAATGAATGTGAATTGCTGTATAAATATAAAACTTCATATATTAATATTACAATATTACATTACTTATTAATATTTATAAGGTGATTAATATTATTAATAATAGTTTTATTAACACTTCTACTTTAATTTGAATACCCATCGATTTGATTACATCTCTCATTCTGGGAACATATATCTGGAAGCATTAAAATTCCAGTGACATCTGCATATTTAAACATTTTGGGGAACATCTATGCTTTAGGCCTTAAAGCTGAATAAGCACTGTAAGATTCTTTAGTAGAATAATGGGAGATCTGAGAATGGAATGGGGGAATGGATATGGGGTTTATAAAACGGTGGACAGCTCTTTGGAATTTAGCAGAAGGAAAATGCACAGAAAACCTGACACCCGTCAGAAAAAGTTATGGATGACTTTTTTCACCTCTGATATCCCAGCCATCACAGCGACATGAATCACACAACTTATAATCATAAATAAATTAAAGTTTTAATTTAAAGAAGCCGGGTATTCAGGGGTTAAGCTACAAACTTGTTAACCAGCACCATAAAAAAAAAAAAGATAATAATTGAATGAAAATTATTTTTTCAAAACTACCTTCAAGAGAAACAAATCTGCCACTCCCTTTGAAGAAAACCTACCACAAACAAAAGGCACTCACCAAACAAAATTTCACTAAATCATGAATGAAGTGCACGTAGAATACAAAACATCTGACACGCAGAGTATCCATAAGGACACAGACTCTGCTGTGTTCACAGCTGGTTGTTTTGCTCTGAGAATAGGGGTATGGTCAGGTAGACACAAGCGGTAGAGCACCCCCTATGTGTCAGGGTTTTTATTGTGTGTTCACTTTCGATCCTCCTCTCAAAACCTGATAAAGGGAGTTGCATCATTAATCTATTCTGCTGTATGATGGGGAGGAAAAAAATGGGATACCCCACATACGAGCAGCTCATGGGTCATCACAATCCCAAACAGGTAGGACTCTTATGAACGGGCTGCAGATGGCTAATGGGCAATTTACAGACACCTGTTCACCCAACTGCACGTCTTTCGGCTGTGAGATGAAGCCCATGTAACACAGGATTGCTTGACCTACTAGTGTGAGGCAACAGAGCACCACCTAGGTTTAGCATTTCATTTTTATATCTTTATGTTTATAATATTTATGTTTTGTATGCCATATGTTGTGCACCACTTGTCTACCAAAGACAACCAAAATATCAAAATTAAAACATACTAATTTATTTATCTCCAACAAAATTACATGTAACTATGAATTATCGTAAGTTCATGTCAATTACTACATTTCCTGAAAACATAATCATTTGAAAGCTCTGCAGTATTCGTGATTTGTTAAAGTTGATATGAATAACATAGTTTCCTGTGTACTTCTGCATCTTTTTCTTTTCCCTGGATGGATGAGCATCCATTCATGCATTTTCTACAACCACTTATCCTGCTCAGGGTGGTGGGGGGCCCGGAGCCTGTGGGCACAAGGCAGGGAACAACCCGGGATGGGGCAGCAGCCCATAGCAGGGCACAAGGCAGGGAACAACCCGGGATGGGGCACCAGCCCATCGCAGGGCACAAGGCAGG